GATGAAGTGTACAGCACGGGGACAACATAATAATCTTCTTAAACTATATATAATTTTGGAAATGAGTGCAAAGATATTTAAAATGAATCCGCACCTTGCCACCAGGAAAAGATCTTATTTTCCAGACAAGTGCATCACTTTCAGGTGCATATGCTGCAGATCCTAATGATGTCCGAACCTCAGGGTTGGTGGCATCAGATAACACAGGGACCTCAATCTCCACATTTGTTGCAGTGCTGTGCAGTTAAGTTTTCATGAGAACTAAGGGAATAAACATTAAGGTACCCAGAGAACAAAGCAGTTGACTTGACTAGAGACATGATTCGGCAGCAGTAACTAGACCCAACCGTCTCAGTCTCCATAAAAATAAAAGAAACTTTTCTAATACCTACGCTCCTTGAACTGACTTCTGGCTTTTACCAGAATCTCAATACGACTTTTTGAATGCCTTTCAATTTGAGCTTCAACCCAAATTAGAGGCTTAACCTAAAAGGGGAAATAACGAAAATCATTAAATGGCATGGGGCAGGCAATTAACAAACACCACACACAAAGAAAAATAAAAGAGAGCATCAATAGAGCATGAGGGATACCTGTGTACTCAGCCTATATGTCATGAGATCAAAAGCTCCATCAGGTGGTACAAAGGATATTGTCCGGTCATTTTCAAACCGGGCCAAACGCACACACCTAAACCAAATTTTATGATTTAGTGCGAGGACTTGCAGGAATATTAATGATGTAAAATCTCAAACAATTGTAAGACAAGCGCAAGAATTCAGATAAATCAGAGAAAGCTACATACTGATGAAATTTGATGTCTTCCAAATCAATGGCCTTCCCCTTTGTTGCTCGGCCTTGTGCCTCCAACAGAACTCTATCATTTAAGCCCAGCTTACACTCTGGCATACCACTGCAACAGGAATTCAGTAAATACTATAGTTCCCAGATGATACTCTCGGTACATTAATGAGAAGGCTAAATAGTTAAAATGTAATTGGAATTATAAAAATTCACTAGAGCACACCATTCTCTTCTGGTGAAGAAAAAGTATACTGTACTATTGTTGAGTGCACGCATACAACTTGAGGCTGTACTTCTCAGATCTATAAGAGCTTAGGTGTTTGTATGAACAGAGTCGAACATCACAGTCAGAACATGCTAAGGAAGTCCCAAGTAATTTAGCGAGGGTGCAGTAAACACTCGATTGACATCGTTTAAATTATGAAATTATTTATAAATTTCCAACACATAATTTAAATTTTCAAACAAAAAACTTTAATTTCTTGAAGGGTCAAATTGTTGTTGAAGTTGAGACAGTCTGCCGCCGCTCAATAAAATGCAAGCCCATGCCAGCCCTAGAATACAATAGATTAAATGGGAAAATAACCCATGAGTGTAACGTTTCGTTGATCAGTCACTTTACTGCATCGACTAGTTTTCCATGGTGAACCAAGGGTTTAGTTAGTGGCTTTCACAACGATAATAACAGAGTACTCCAAAGAGCAATATTAACTAGAATTTACACCATTGTCCTCTTAATATTGTTTCTTCCTAAAATGGATTGAAATACTAGCATACACCAAACAAACTAGAAAATCCTAAACTGATATCTCCATATGGAATAGTTGTATTCAGTTGGCATTTGGCTAGCATATGAATCTACTGCCAAGTTCAGTGAAAGAAGCACAAGTTAGACTACTCAAGCATAGATAGAAATTCACTGGGTTAGGATGGAAACACACCTCAAATAAGTTCTCATCTTCAACGCACCAACAACATCAGACCTAATGATTTGTCCATTGCTGTTGACAAGTATGTTAACACTCTCCACCACATCCAGGAAAACCTGAAAAATAAAAGAGAGAAAGGAAATTCATTTAGTGGTAGTTCCAAAAAAGAATAAATAATCTTCTTTTTTCCTACCTCATTCTTCTTGTAGCGTATCCCTTCACTGCGCCAAGACACTGCATTTGTTACAGCCATGGGAGGTCTCTGTGTAACTTCCATCCTGTAAGCATCAGTCTTGATAAATTCACTGAGAATCTTGGCTTCAGTATACTGAGGGTAACCAAAGTCCATCATCTCATCAAGCAACTCATACTACAAAGAAAGGGCACAAAGATCGCATCAAATCACAAAATTTCATGATCAAACATAAGCCAAATAAATGGTACAAATATCTTCTTACCACAACCACAAAATTATCCCTAAGTGATTCCTCTTCTAACTCTTCAAAGTAATGCTTGAAAACCTGTGGCCCAAGCATGGATCACCATAAAGTTAAAAAAATTCCCAATCATGCCGGCGGAAACAATACAACTACGAAAGATGAATGCAACTTATTATTACCGAAAGAGCTTACATCAACTATGCGGTGTAGAAAGAAGAGAAGACTAGCGGCATTGCAGTTCTGCCTGGACGCAGTCATCAAGTAAACATTGTTATGCTGTATAAACAAGTAGCTTACGCCATTATCATGCACAACTGGATCATGGGATTCCGGATCAACCTGAAGCACATTGCGCAACCACAAAATGAAAAACAAAATGCCGCTTTCAAGTTCTACTCTTACAAAATAGATCAAAGAAAACTTCGTTGTCGCTAATTTCAGAATCAAACGACACAAAAGGGAATAATTTATAAATAAACGATAATTCAGTTTTGTTTTCCTTCGTTCTCTCAGCAACCAATCAGTTCCTCAAACAATTAAGATACAGAAAGCGCAGAAGCTGTGGAAATTGAGCAAGTGAAAGTAAGAAGAAGCTTCGAACCTCTTTCTCGATGAGCTTAGTGAAGAAGCGCTCGGCTTGAACGGCGGAGACGTCGCCACGATAGTCGCGCCAGATGAGAACGCGGCCTTTGATGTCTAGGAGGAACAGCGCCGAGACTGCCCCTGCCATGAGGTCACTGGTTTCTGCGTAGGATCAGATCGGCGTTGCAGAAATTGGATGCGATCTGGTTCTGATTTAGTAGCAGAGTCAATTAGCTAGAAGGAGAAGGAGAAGGAGAGATCACGTAGTACGCAGTAGATCTGAATCTGAAGCTTTGGGTTTTAGGGCTTAGGGCTCGGTTCGCCATCTACTATTTCTCTTCCAACATTAACCGTCATCTTCAATCTCCCTCTCTGAAGAGTCTGAGTTTGGAAATGGAGCTGTTCGCGGTGAATATTTGCCTCTTCCAGACGTTAGAGACCCGCGACTCTCTCCTTCTTACGACGCCGTTTTAGGTTCAATTCTTAAATAATAATTAATTACGACTCAAGATTTTCCCTTTCCTATATTAATTGAAATCGAAAATGGGTATATAGTGACTTTATTAATTAAGTACATACAAAAATTATAGGATTATGATAGAAAGCTGTTTAAATTTATAACTTGAGTAGAAGAGGAGTTATTTCTGCAATCAAGGTCCTGTGTTCCCTCACTTAATGTTGCTTGTATAAAAAATAGGCTTATTTACTGTAGTACCCTTGAAACTTCGGTCAAATCTTCCTCTACCTCCCCCCACCCAAAAGTTAAAGTGGCCCACTTAAACCCCTTGACCATGATTTTGTGTTCCACTTTACCCCCCACAGTTAACGCCAAAAGACCATCAAAAATCCTAACGTGGCAAGGTCATTATAATAAAAGCAACCACCGTGGCCAATTGCTGAGCATAGTCAGCATCTTACGTGGCACAATGGACCACACATGCTTTTAAAATCCAAATCTAAGCAGCTCAAGGGTTTCTGAATCTAGAAAAATTACTTACCACCATTTCAAGGATGTAAGGTTCTATATCCAAAGAAAAATTTCTCCATCTTTCTTCGATTAAAGGGTGTGAAGATGAGGAAAGAACCTTTATGAGGAGAAGAGCCGGTCGTTGCTGCACCTCATTGCTATTGTGGCAGGCTTGCTTGGTGTTGCATTCCTAAAAGGACACAAATTAATGTGCAAACAACCAATTAAAAATACCCGCAAGTGCACGAATCTAATGA